AAAGAAAGAAAGAAAGAAAGAAAGAAGAAAAAAATAACCTACACTTTAAGACCTTGCACTTACAACAATTAACAGTTCACAATTTGCAATTAACAATTAATTGTGAATGAAGCCTGGGGAGATAGCTCAGTAGAATAAGCGCCTATCTGGCAAGCGCAGGGTCCTGAGTTCAATCCCTGGCACCGCAAAATAAATAAATGAAAATTAAAAAAACAATTAATTGTGAATGAATGTTTTCCCATAAAAGCGGAAATTTAAAAAATGGCTGTTTTTACCACTACTATTAAGCCTATACAGGAAATTCTAGCCGGTGCAGTGAGGCAAGAAAAGGAATAAAAGGCATACAGATCAGGAAGGAAGAAACAAAATTGTCTCTATTTGCAGGTGACATAATTGTCCACATAGAAAATCCTAAGAAATCTACCTGCAGCCCAGGTGTCCCTCACTCTTGGCCCCAAATGTCCAGAGGGACCAGCAAGCCTCAGAAGCCCTGGCTTCCTCCTGGCACTGGACTGGGGAAGCTGTTTTTTTGCAGTAAGAGGGGTGCCTCCCTCCTGGGTGCTGGCTGGGGTGCAAAAGAGTTGCTTCCTCACTCCAAAAGCCCCCTCAGGCTCTGGAAGTATTTGTTGTGGTTGTTGTGTTGTTTTGTTTCTTATGTATTTGGTACAGAGTCTCACTATGAAGCTCGGACTCTTAGTGACCCTCCTGTTTTCAGCCTCCCCAGCGCTGGGATTATAGGTGTGCACCACCACACCCATTCTCGGGGACTGGCTCAGCGTGCCCGGGGGCAGGGCTGGCGCAGCACGTGGGGATCGAAGCCCAGTCCCTGCACTTGCCTAAGCAGGCACTTAGTCCCCTGAGAGATCTCGTGGGTCCTTGGCTCTGAAATGTTAGCACTGTCTGCAAAGCTACAGCCAAGCCTGGCTTTTCCAGGAGGCGGTCCTCAGGGCTCCCCGCTGCAGCCGAGTGCTGGGCTCGGTGCTGTGGACACAGTCATGAGCTTAGCGAGGGCCCCAGGGTGCAGAGGGACAGACAAGAGTCCTGCTGCTATAGCTAGCTGGGGGACAGGCATCAAACACGGCTGTGGGAAAGAGCAGAATGTCCTATGGGGGACTTAGGCAGGCAAAGGGGCTTCTGCAGAGCTCTATGCAGAAGCTGCCGGTGCTGATGTAGCTGGTGACATGAATGTAGCTAAAACTGCCCCTTCCCAGGGGCACCTGCTTTCACCTATCACTGAGTGTAACCAGGTGTGCTGCTGCACAGGGGCTCTGTGTGTGAGTGTGTGTGAGTGTGTGTGTGTGTGTGTTACAAACCTGCATTCCCCATGAGAAATAGTAAGAAACAATGGTGTCCATGCTTTAGCTTCTCTTCCTGCCTGCTGTGTGCTCCAGGGCTCTGGAGGAAGCTCAGAGCTCGTCCGTTGTCTGGCTGGCTTCTCTGTCCGCACTCATCCCCAAGGGGAGCTGGAGAGGTCAGTGTCTCCCAGATTCATCGCTTCCAGCCTGGACCCGGGTCTCACAGTCCTGTGTCGTCTGCCCTACCAGGCATTGCACACCCACCGGTACTGTAAACAGCCAGGACCAAGGCCCTGCCACCACTCCCACTGCCCCACCCCAGCCACCCGCTCCACCTTCTAGGTGTTCAGGCCCCACCTGCAAGTAGGGCCTGGTCTCCTTGCTTTCCCATACACCCCATGTCCCATCCACTGGCAGATCCTGTGGGCTGCAACTGGCAAAATGTGCAGAATCCGACAGCTTCTCTCTCCACCCCACTGCCACCACCCTGACCTGAGCCCTGTCACCCCTCCCCTGCCCAGCTGCAGAGCCTCCCTGCTGGCCCAAGGCCTCCTCCCCCGCCCCCCACTGCCCCTTCTCACATGGCAGCAGGAGTGCTGGTGCTCAGACAACCCTGAACACAGTCGCTTCCCTGCTCAGTGGGCCCCTGTGGCTCCCCGTGGCTCTTGGAGTGGAAACCAAAGTCCTTCCCATGCCCAAAAAGCTCTGACACCCCACCTCACACTCCAGCTGCTCTTGCCTCCTTGTCCTTCCCTGATTGCACCAGGCGCAGCTGCCCCAGGGCCTTTGCACCTGTTGCATTTTATCTTCTCTTGACCCAGACCTCCATCCTCCAAGCATCCATTTTCTCACCACCTCGTCTTTGCTCCACTGTCCCCTTCTCTGTCCATCCATTTAATTTTTTTTTAATTTTTTTTTAATTTATGTGTGTGTGTGTGTGTGTGTGTGTGTGGCCAGCTCAGCCCACCAGGGGGCAGGGCTGGCATGTGGTGTTGGGGGATTGAACCGTGGTCCCTGTGCTTTGCTAAGCTTGTTCTAAGTAAGTGCTTTAGACCACTGAGCCATCTCACCAGCCCATGTCCATCCATTTAAAATAGCAATCAGTCTCTCAGTCCATACTTCTGGCAGCCCTTGTCCAGTTCCACTTTTGATCTTTCTGTACTACTAACATACAGCCTCTATTACTCACTTATTGCTTATTTCCAGCAGGATAAAAGCTCTGGGGCCAGGGAGATGGCTCAGTAGAATAAGTGCTTCCCTGGCAAGCATGAGGGCCTGAGTTCAATCCTCGGTTCTGCAAAAAAAGAAAAAGAAGAAGAAGGAGAAGGAGAAGGAGAAGGAGAAGGAGAAGGAGAAGGAGAAGGAGAAGGAGAAGAAGAAAAGCTCCATGGAGGCGGATTGCTGTCTACTTTGTATGTTGCATATTCTGAGGGCCTGGAAAGCACCTGTCAGCAGTAGAGTCAAAATTTTTGTTGAATTAATAAAATTGCTTTGGTCCCACTCCTCTTTGTGGCTTATTCACAGCAAATTTATATCCCTGATGGCCACAGAGAAAAGAAAAGGCCCGAAGACAACCATCCCGGAGCCTGAGGCGCGCATACTCCGTCTCTGGGCCTCACCTGCCCATCTACAGCACGAGGTGGACTCCGAGGCCCTCCAGTTCCGACCCTCAACGGCTCCCTCCTGCCCCCTTCCAGGAGCAGATTGCATCATCTGACCAGCCAGGGAAGTAGCTGTGAGGACAGGCGCATCTTAGCACCAGGCCTAGCGGCAGTACCTAGAAACAAACTGGGCTCTGAGCCCAGGGAAGGTGTCCAGGCCCTGGCTGCCTGGACCATGTGACTTGGGAGGGCTGTTTAGATTTTTTGCATCCTAGTGGCCTGTCTCTGAACTCAGGTACTATGCTGGGACCTGGTGCAGCCCAGTGCTGGTGTGAAGAATTTGTACTGGAGCAAATTCCTGTGCAAACCCACAGCCCGACTCATAATTCTAAGCCAAAGCAAGTGAACCCACACACATACACCCTGATACTCCAGGCTGGCAGCAGACCCTGGGTGTGTCTTACTCCCTATTGGGGCCTGTTCACTGTCCTCCCCAACTCATCACCGTTTTGCAAACAGAGCCTGGCGCCAGCGGCCCAGTGCAACTCCCAGGTGAGCGCCCAGGGCCTGCAACTGTCTGGTCTGACCAGAGGCCCCAGCCCCAGGTAGACCTGGGGAGCAGAGAACACCAGCTTCCGGGGTCAGCATCGGTCCTCCCTCCCAGCTCGGCCACACCCTCCCTATGCACTGGGCAGCTCACTTTTCCTGTCAGAGTCTCATTTGCCCCTCTGTAAAGTGGGCTGGAATGATAAGCCTGTGTATACCTCATGTCCCTGCAAGATACAGCCTTGATAAAGTCTGAAGAGCATGCATCTCCTAGACAGGCAGCTAACGGGCTCACCCTCTGGAGTCACACACACTAGGTTCAAATCCCGCACTCTCCAGCTGGGAACTTTCTCACACCCATTTCTTCCTCTGTGCAATGTGCCTGCCAATGGTGCCAGTCTTAGCCTTGGAGGAGCCAGGACAGAGCAAACCTGAGAGGGTGACCTGTCATGTGAATGACCCATGAGAGACCTCTTAGCACCTGGCTGGTGTTTTGTGTGTGTGTGTGTGTGTGTGTGTGTGTGTGTGTGTGGTACCAGGGATCGAACTCAGGACCTTGGGCTGGCCAGCCAAGCACTTATTCTACTGAGCTATCTCCCTGGCCCCTGGCTGGTCTTTGAATGAGGGCCTGGCTTGTGACTTCTTGCTTAAAATCTCCCTGTGTTCTCGCCATCATCTCTCTGCCACCTGTTACGGTTAGGAGAGACTGCATGGACCCGGATGTGTTGGCCCCAGACCAGGACAAGGCTAAAGGTGTGAAGACTCAGACTTGTACCCCTCACTCCTGGTTTTCCTGAGCTGCAGTTCCAGCCAGGACACCCACCCAGGCACAGGGAGACGCCGTCCACACCCAGGCCGAGTGGCCTGGGCGGAGCCACACCTCAGCCTCAGACCGCGAGTGCTGACTCACAGCTCTGACAAGCAGTATAAAAGAGCCAGCCCAGGGGCTTCCTGCAGCGGCCAGAGGATGGTCCAGGGGACAGTGATCCGTGTGGCCCCGGAGCAGCCCACCCATGCTGTGTGCGTGCTAGGCACCGACACTCAGCTGGATGTCTGCAGGTGAGAGGGGAGCCTCCGGGGTGTTGGGAAGGACACCTGACAATGTGAGCACACTCTGCCACCCCTTCAGCCCCAGCAGCCTCTGGCTCTGGCTCGGGCCTCTTCAGAGAGCTGCTGGAAAGACAAACCCGAGCAGGAGCAGTTGAGAGAGAGCGGACTCATGACAGCGAGGTCGCCGTGCATACAAGGGTGGCTTCCCAAGACCTTGCTTCAAATGTATTGGTTTTTTTTTTTTTAATTTTATTTATTTGTGTGTGTGTGTGTGTGTGTGTGTGTGTGTGTGTGTGTCCAGCTCAGCCCACCAGGGGGCGGGGCTGGCTGGCATGTGGTGCTGGGGGATTGAACCGAGGCCCCTGTGCTTTGCTAAGCTTGTTCTAAGTAGGTGCTTTAGACCACTGAGCCATCTCACCAGCTTCAAATGTATTGTTATGGGGCGTCAGAGAGATCAAAGACCTGGCTGTGGTTACACAGCAAGGCCCCAGGCCACACCTGGTTAACAAGGGGACGTGCTGTGCGCACCCCTTCCCAAGGATGTGTGACGGTGTGGGGGACGATGGGACAAGCTGCTGCCTCAGAGAGACAGAGGAGGTGCCACCTGGCCTACTGTTGGTTTCCTCAGCTATGCAGTGAGAATAATGCCCACTTCATGGAGTTTTTACAGATGAGATGTGAGAAAAGGTAATAATGTTCATTAGGTACTTAGCTCAGTGCCAGGCATTCCTGGTAGCTATTCATTCATTCATTCATTCATTCATTCATTCATTCATTTATTCGTTCATTTGTTCGTTCGTTCATTCATTCATCAAATACCAGTGGAGGACCTAAAGTGCGTTGGGTCCTGGTTTGCACAAGAGGGTTGAAGAACCGTCCTGGAGTGTGCGTGATGCTGTCATTTTTGTCCTCCTCAGTAACCACAGAGGCAGGTCTTGGCTTCTGCCCCCTGGTGCCCCCACGTGCCAATCGTGTCCTAGCACGGTGCCAACAGGGTTGTCCAGGACATTTTCTTGAGAGTGTCGCTCGTTGCCTGAACCCAGCAGTGTCTAGGCAGCTTCCTCGGCCAGTCAGGAGGCAGGAGGCTGAGACGTCAGGAGCAAAGCAAGCGGGCAAGCTGGGTGCTGCTGGAGCAGCTGCACAGTGGTGGGCTTGGGGGGATGGAGGGTGCTGCAGCTGCAGCGTGGTGAGCTAGCCCTCCAGCTGTGCTCCAGGGGTGTGGCAAGGTCACCTGGCCTCTTCCAGGTGGGGAACTGGCTGGGCAGGCCCAAGAAGAAGGTGGCCCAGAATGAGCCCTGTCATTCTGCCCCTCAACTGGTGCGCCTAAAGATAGCTAAAATGATGTCACCTGTCTGCATGTGGGAGATAGACATACTTTTATTCCCATTTTACAGAAGGGGAAACAAAAGCTCGAGGACATTAAGTAACCACCCAAAGCTAAGGGAGTCAGAGCGCAAACCCAGGCAGCCGACTTCAGGACTCTCCTGTTGGCCTCTTGCCCTGCGCCAGCCTTCCTGTCCGCTTTTGCCAGTCCCACACAGCCCTCATCCACCGGCTCCCTCGGCCTCCCTGGCAGCCCCCGCCTTCTTCCTAAATTTGGAGCCACGGGCCTCTCCTTCCTAAGTGCCAGCCAGCTGCCTGGATCTCTTCTTCTGATCAGGGACCCGAGGTAGTTGAGCGTGGGGAAAGCGCTTGAGCTGGAGCTTCTCATAGAAATCGGTTCCCTTTCATTCTGAGCTTGAAAAGTGCTTTTTCTTGGGCTGGCGAGACAGCTCGGTGGACTAAGCGCCTGCTCAGGCAAGCGCAGGTACCAGGGTTCGATCCCAGGCACCACATGCTGTGCTGGCCCCGCCCCCGGGCACGCTGAGCCGGCCACTGAGACCAGGCGTGGTGGGGCACCCCTTAATCCCAGCGCTGGGGAGGCTGAAAACAGGAACATCACTATGAGTCCGAGCTGCATAGCGAGACCCTGTACCTAATACATAGAAAGAAAAGTGTTTTTGCTGCAGCAGAAGATTCCTCGACTACACAGACGTCGTGCTGAGCTGAGAGGAATAGTGACACCTCTCCAGGGCTTTCTGTACTCGGGGCAGTCAGGAAGTCACTGTGACCCAGATATGAGGAACCAGGCCCTTCTCGCTGATGTGTTTATCTTGTTGTTTTGAGGGTTTTTTGTGATTTTGTAAAAAATCATTTATTTATTTATTTATTTGGTACAGGGTCTCACTATGCAGTTTAGACCCATAGGGATCTTCCTGTCTTGGCCTCCCCAGTGCTGGGATTAGAGTCATGCACTACCACACTAGTTTGGGGGCCGGCACTGTGCACCCAGGGTTTGGGGGCTGGCACGGCATGCGGTACCAGGGATTGAACCCAGGTCCTTGTGCTTGCCAGATAGGTGCTTAGACCACTGAGCTATCTCCCTAACCCCTTATGTGTTGTTGTTGTTGTTGTTGTTGTTTGAGTTATGATGGTCTCAAAATCATCTCAACACTGCTGCCTCAACTTCCCAAGTACTGGGATTACAAGTGTGCAACACACACACACATACACACACACACACATTAATCTGCCTCTGAGTACTATAGGAAGGGTGGTCCAAGACTACTTCCGGTAGCAGAGTCAAGCAGCTTCTTTGGGGCTGGAAAGGCCCATGGAGGGACAGAGGAGGTGGTGCAAACCTCAAAGGACGGTACTGTGAAGGTGCCATTTGCGGGTGGCTCTCCTTTCCCCACAGGATCTCTTCAATAGCAAACCACTCAGAATAATGGCAGAGAGCATGGGCATGTCTGTTACTGTCTCTAAACCTCAGTTTACCCATCTGTAAAATGGGCAAGCCAACAGCTTCCTGATAGGTTGTGGCAAGGACTAAGTCACACAACACACGTTGAGTGTCTAGCAGCAGCAGCAGCAGCAGCCTCATTCCTGTAAGGGTGGTGTGCACCTGTGTGTGTGGCAGTGTCACAGACACTGAGCACGGTCCTGCTGCTTGTCCCATGTGAGGCAGCTGTCTCAGTGTTGGCTCTACAGAGGGAACCAGTGTTAAGGAAGATTCAGTTCAGCTTGTCCTATGGTGACATGCCGTCACCCCCACAGTGCAGAGCCCCAGGCCTTGGGGAGGAAGGGCTTGCCTTCCTCACTTGGAAGCTGAAAATATCTGGAAAACATTCAAAAGAAAGACCATGGACCCTGGAGATGAATCCTCATGGTGCACTTCCCAGGCAGCCTCAGTTTCCCCATCTGGTACAACATGTAGCTGTGGCAGGTGGCAGGCGCTATGTGTGCCCTTCCCCGCCCTGCACAAGACAGAGTAGCTGGGGGACCCAAAGTCCCAGCCCCCACACCTCATTCTTTGGGCCTCTGATTCTCTTTGCTGTTGTACCAAAGGCTTCGAGTCTCCTCTCCACCCCCCTGGTCACAGCACAGGCGCACAGCAGCGGGGTGCTTGGAGCCTGAGAAATGAGGCTCCAGCCTTCGGTGGGGAAGCAAGGGCCTCCATGCGGCTTGGCCTGGGCCAGGCAGTTGGAGTGCGATGGCAGTGGGAGACTTTGGGACTTAGAGCACTGTAAGCCAGGACCCGTGGCAGCTTGTCATAGCCACTCTGGTCCTCAGCACAAGGTCTAGCACAGGGTGGAGTGAAAGCCTCATTCGCCTTTGGGCCTCCCCCCATGGCACCTGGCACACACGAGGTGCTCAGTTATCCGGAAATCCTCCTGCAGAAATCCAGCTTTGTGAACTGGGTCCCCACCCCGTGGCTCCTGCTCCAGCCCTGGCACCTGTGTGTCCCCACCATTGGTGGCCTCACAGGCCTCTGGGCTGTGCCTATCCCCTGAGCCTGGTGCCTCCCTAGCCGACAGTGCAGTCTGTCTCCTTGAGCCCATACCCAGGGTTGCTTCCACCTGGGAGAAAGGGGCCTGAAAACCAAGCCAGCTGCCCACCCCACAACCTGGATAGCACTCCTGGCCCTCATCCACCATCCTGTTACCTTGGTGACGTGAGGAGACACCAGGCATAAAGAGCCAGGCACACAGGCGCCTTAAGCAAACAGCAATACACTCCTGTCTCCAGCCTCAGTTTCTCCTGTGAAGTGAACCGACTGACATCCTGCCGGGCAGTGCTGTCCTGAGGCAGGGTGGGCTGGGCACAGTGGTCGGTGCAAGCCTGGCAGGTCACTGACTGCTAAGCTTGGGCCATCACTCCAGATGGCAGAAAGTTTGTTTGCGCCTTGCTCATGCCCACAGGCTTTGCCTGAGACTTAAGTGAAGAGTGGTGGTTTCATTAGTCTGGCAGAAGAAATTTCAAGGCAGTCTAATGTCAAGGCAGTGGCATGGCTACTGTTAGGGGCTTTTAGCCAGATGCATGTTGAGAACCAAGAGCAAAGAGCCCAGCAGAATGATTTAAAACATCTAGAGTTTGTCCAGAAAGGAATTTCCAATAAAGCTGTGGACTGCAAAGATAGAGTAGAGAAGTTCTTCATTGCTGAAAAAATAGAAAAGATCTCCTGAGGATGACACAAGGAGCAGCAAGACTTCATCCTTTGCAGCCTCAAAATTGCAAACATGAAGGGCCGGCCAAATAGCTCAGCAGATTAAAGTGCCTGCAAGCAGGTACAGGGGCCCAGGGTTCAATCCCTGGGCCTTCCATACTGGCCCTGCCCCTGGGGCATGCTGAGAGGGTGATTGAGACTGGGTGTGATGGCGCATGACTGTAATTCCAGCTCTTGGGAGACTGTAAACAGGCAGATCACTATGAGTCTGATCTAGTAGTGAGACCCTGAACACCCTGTAGGCCTTCCCTAAAATACAGGGAAAAAAAAATGCAAACATGAAAGACTTTTCTTTGAGAAGACAGCCCCAGATCACCATGTTCCAGAATGGAGGCGGCCTAAGCAAATTGTTCCTTGAGATCTGCTTCCTAGACACAGGGCCCCCACAGCCAAGAGAGCAGGAAGCCTGGCTACTGCCCAGCTGGCAGGCAGCAGACCTTGGCAGCATCCATGTGGCACTGAT